CCGGACAAAAACTCGATTTTGGGATTTTGTGCTTATACGAATCTATTCGCCGCGTTGAATCTATCCACACTGGAAACCTTGAAAACGGCAAAAAAGGGCTTTAGCGCAGGAGGGAAACAGCAAGTGGGCGGAGTCCTCCCCACTGTGAATTCACTCTCCCAGCTTCCGGAGCGGTCTTCTCGATTCCGCTAACCGTCCTAACATCGCTACCGACCAAGTGCGAATAACTGACATGGAACCGGAATGAGAGATCGCTCCGGGAGCTGGGAGCGTGAATTCATAGCGGGGAGGATCCCGCCCACCTGCTGATTCCCCTCTTGTGTTAGAGCCGTTTTCCGCCGTTTTCGCGCTCTACAATGTGCATTTTCGGATCCAGCGTAGCGAATACGTCCGGGTAAGCACAAAATCTCAAAATCGAGTTTTTGCCCGGACGCTGCCTTTGAGTGCTTGCTTGAGAAACGGCCGTCTTCCGGTAACTGCTGTAAAAGCCCAAGCAGGTATCACTATCGAACATAGGTGATTGATATTTCCTCGAACAATTTCCTCGTTATAGCAGGGGTTATTTATATCGTTGTAAATCAACATTTTCAGCCCGCTTAGCTCATTCACGTACTACCTTTATCGCGATGTAGTGAAAAATTGAATCGGCCTCCATTCGAAAATAAACCATCATTCTTCTCTTTACAGCTATGAGGTGGCCATGAGGAAACTTGAAGCTCCTTGCCATTGTCGAGACGGACGATATTCTGCTGTTAATCTTTACTAAGTATTCTCTACTAGTATTCTCTATTTTTTCTCTCTAGTATTCTCTTTTTTGCTGTCTATATTTTTGAGGGGATCCTACTCCGCGCCCCTACCCAGGTACAGGTAGGTTTTTTGGATGAATGATTCGGGAAAAAAAACTTAGTTCTGGATGGGCTAACGACGCTTCGTCTGAAGGAAGAGGACGTTTCCTCTGAGGACGCTTCATATGAAAGAAGAAAGTGCACTGAACTCTTGACGGTGAAGCTGCGCTCTAGCGTCTGTATCAGGATCAGGAACCTCTTCTCAACAGCACTTGCATCTTCACGCCAAGAAGACGACTTTGTCGGCATATGCTAACGCATACTGGAGTGAAGGACTTCCGCTACGAAGAATGTGGATGCGAATTCACGTGCAAGGACAATCGAGACAGACACACGCGGATATGGCGATATTGAGATGCAGACTGTAGAAATCGGCAGTCGCCGCGTGGGCGTGGCAACTCCAGATGAGGTGTGCCACCGGATGATCGGCGCCCCCCCCCCCCATTTCCATTACTCGCAGAGATAACCGAGAGCGACACATGCGGACTAAGAAAACAATATGGATTCGAAGTCTACTCGAAGCCTTACAGGCTGGTAGGTCCAAAAATGCGGTAACAAGAACGTATGGTACATGTCCAAAAGTGCGCCGAAGTGGGTTTGAGATCGAATGTAAGCGGTGAAAAAGGCCTGTGAAGTGTCCAGAATGTCTCCATGTCCATCCAGACCATCCATGGCCGTCGTCCTTACCCATCCAATTTTGGAAACCTCCCCCTGTACAGGGAGAGAACAACAACGTATGGTACATGTCTAAAAGTGCGCCGAAGTGCCCCAGAGGCACCGCCCACGATTGTCTGCGAGATGCAGTTACACTGTATATGCATGAGAGAGTTTAGAAACTGGCTAGTTTTCTTTGAACAAAAGTATGAAAAATTTTCAATTTCTCGGGCATCCGAAAGTTCTGGGATTTCTGCTTCTAGCTCGTGATGTGCGAAGCTGGCGCAAACACTTACACGCCATCTTATAGCTTGGTTTGCTCTATCGAACGGTTCCCAGTATTCTAATCATGTTTGAGAAGTACGTGACTTATTGCTGTAAGAGTTTAAAATTGAAAAAAACTTATGAGACAACCTAATATTTATATACGAAATTGTGATGTGTTGGGAGCTTGTTCTTCTTATTGTTACATTGTCACCTGAGTTCGTGGAATTGGAGACCAAATACTGCAACATATTTTGCATAGGAAGTACAACAGTGATTCTTCATAATGTTTATCTTATATATAAAGCTGAATGTCTGTTTGTATGTATGTATGTATGTCTGTCTGTATGTATGTGTGTACGTATGTTCCGAATAGAAAATTCCATTTCTGAACCGATCCGGACCAAACTTGGCACACATACACTTCGGGCCCCGGCGGGTGTCATAGGCTACTTTTCGTCATCGATCGATATCGATTTTATCGATTTTTATCGATTTTTTTGCTGAGTTCACCTACGGGGCTGGGAGTTGGCACAGGGGGGTAATCGAGCATGGGGATTCCGAATACAATATTGGTTTTCAGGATTATCGATTACTTTTATCGATTTTATCGATTTTTTTGCAAAGTTTGAGCTACGAGGCTGGGAGTTCGCACAGGGGGGTAATCGAGCATGGGGATTCCGAATACAATATTGGTTTTCGGGATTATCGATTACTTTTATCGATTTTATCGATTTTTTTGCAAAGTTTGAGCTACGAGGCTGGGAGTTCGCACAGGGGGGTAATCGAGCATGGGGATTCCGAATACAATATTGGTTTTCGGGATTATCGATTACTTTTATCGATTTTATCGATTTTTTGCAAAGTTGGAGCTAGGGGGCTGGGAGTTGGCACAGGGGGGTATTCGAGCATGCTGATCATTCCCAAGGGGGGTGATCAGCATGCTCGATTACACCCCTGTGCCAAATTCCAGCCCCCTAGCTCAAATTTTCAAAAAATCGATAAAATCGATAAAAGTAATGGACGATCTTGAAAACTAATATTGTACTCGTAATCTGCATGCTCGATTACCCCCTGTGCAAACTCCCAGCCCCGCAGGTCAAACTTTACAAAAAAATCGATAAAATCGATAAAAGTAATGGACGATCCTGAAAACTAATATTGTGTTCGTAATCAGCATGCTCGATTACCCCCCTGTGCAAAATCTCAGCCTCGCATGTCAAAATTTACAAAAAATCGAGAAAATCAATAAAAGTAACCGATAATTCTGAAAACTAATATTGTATTCGGAATTCCCATGCTCACTTCCCCCCTGTGCCAACTCCTAGCCCTGTAGGTGAACTCTGCGAAAAAATCGATAAAAATCGGTAAAATCGACATCGATCGATAACGAAAAGTGGACTGTGACACCCGCCGGGGCCCGAAGTGTATGTGTGCCAAGTTTGGTCCGGATACGGCGGAGCCGGGTAAGCCAGCTAGTTCTATACAAAAAGCATTCGAGCTAGAATACATAATAGGTTGCATCAAGAGTTAGCTATGAGTTGTGTTCCTTGTTAGTCGTCCGTGTATGGGACTACGTTGTAGCTGGAAGGTGGCGTGGTTCCTGTTACGGATTGACAGCGAGATTCTATGCTAGGGTCGAGGTCAGCTCTGCGAAGAAGATGCTGTTGGGTACGGATAGCAGTGGGGACAATCGAGGTGGGGGAAGGCGCATGCGAAGAGAGGGAGGGAGGACGAGTAGGCTGTGCATGCGGGCCTAGTCGAATTTGTATTATTCTTGATCCAAACGAGTATGCCCCCGTGTTTTTGCTGGGTGTGTCTCCTCCCTCCTTTTTCGCTGCTATCAACTCAAAAAACGTGTAAAATTTTTCTAGGAATGTCGCAGCAATCCGCGGCATCGAGGAATCCCCTTAATAACGCAATCTCAGTATCACATACAATACGCAGCATTATGCGCAACCGAGATTTCCTGTTACATCATGTTATCGTAATAGTTCGTTGAAAAAGATTTAGTTATCTTAATTTTTTGTGCTATAAATTTGCTTATACGGTGTAAAGCAGCACACATCACACATGACGACATCACCTCATCAGAATGAAAAAAGTCAAACCTTGGAAAAATGCAGTATCCATCTGACATAACTGTGCAATCAAATCATAAACAGTGTATCTTCAACTCTCCGTGATGGGACTGTATGTTGCGAAGTTTAGTTTCGCGTCCATCTTCGAATACTTCGTAAGGACTTAGTCCTAGTTTTCGTTGGAAAGGAAGGATATTTGATAGGCGCAGTTCGGCAAAACACATTTATTTATTCGACAAAAGCATTGTGCAGTAATGCCTCTAAAAAATAACGATGGAATATAGCGTACATATAAGAAAAGACAGGGTGAATCCTGTCAGGGAGTACAGGTGAGTTTTTGAGTATATGATTTGGGAAAAAATGGTAGGTACTATCAGATGCGACAGGCATCGCATGCGAAAGAAAAGAAGTTCTCCTGCGAAAAATGTGGGATGAAGTTCACTAGCGGAGACAGAAGGGGCACCCTCACAATTGTTTGCGAGAGATGCACACAATGAAATATAGAGAACATATAAGAAAAGACAGGGTGAATCCTGTCAGGAAGTACAGGTGAGTTTCTGAGTATATGGTTTGGGAAAAAAACTGGGGGCATTTGGAGTCGAAAGCGGTTTCTCCGGAAGGCCTACCGCAACGATCCCGTGACATACGTGCAGCACCGATATGAAATACCGGGACTGCACAAGGATGGATAAGGGAAGAAAGAGCAGAATAAAAGATAACAGATGTGTGCATTTGAGTGAAAGGTAAGAAAAAAAACTCATGGGTGCTTACCAGACGCACGAGGCGACAATGCAGCTGCGATCGAGCAGCTTCGAAAGTTCTGATTTCCCTCCTTGCTAATCGCGATTAATATCACTAATATATATCGGGACTGCACAAGAATGGATAAAGGAAAACCGCGCGGGTTAGGGAGTACAGGTGTGCGCTTTTGAGTGGATAGTATGAAAAAATTACCAAGAAAAATTAAAATTACCAGGACCAAATTTACTCGCAAACAACAGAGAGACATATGAAAAAGCATCAAGTTTGATCTTTGAATTCATTAGCTTTTATGTTGTAATTGTCTTTGATGTGTTATAACTAGGACTTTGACTAGGTAGTTGCAGTTGCATATTTCTTTATGTTTTGAACTCTCTTTTCAAGAAGTAACGGAGAGATGACAGAATTTAGACAGCAGATTCTGGAATTCTTCGAGCAAGTGAGTCATTATATTAGTATTTCACATCTCAGAACTTACCCTCAGCTGTATCAGCACTTAGGAGCAAATCTGGCTGGTCAAACCCCAAGAGGAGGCTGAGAAATACCGCCAGTGAGAGATAAATAAAAAACTTCATCAGCTCAGAAATGCTCTCATCTCTATGTTGATGAGCTGTCACAACCATTTATTAGGACCCAGATAGTGAAGGAGCAGCCTGGGACAAGCCAAGTGAACGAGCGGAACAAGAGAGCTGGGGCATCTCAAGAGCGAGTAAGTGAAAGTGTCGAAGAAGGCCAAACATACCTCTGACCCAGAATTCAAACAATTTGACAACTAGCCAGGAAGCCTAAGCACGCAGGAACCATCAGTGACAGTGTCCCGGCAAGGATTTTCGAAATAGGATTGAGCTTTCAAACCAGAGAATTTTTAGCTCTGGCATGGAAACTTCGAATTAATAAAGAATGCAGCCCCTTCTGCTGAGGCCGAAGTAAAGAAGGTTGGGCATTGCGAGGACCACTGCAGCCCATATAGGTGTTTCGAAAAAGGATACTGTGGGTAGTTTGGCTGCAGAGAGGGATTAGTGGGCCCGCACCAAATAGTGAAGATATGGAGCAGCCCAGGACAAGTCAAGTAAACGAGCGGGATCAACAGGAGCGATCTGGGGCATCACAAGAGCGAGTAAGTGGAAGTGTCGAAGAAAGCGAAAACATACCTCTGACCCAAACGACTCCTTGCTCGAAGGTGCTCCGCAGGTATGGAAAACTTCTTTGGAATCAGCGTTCGATGCCTCTCAAGGTTATATGCAATTTTTTTCAAAAGGCCATTTCGACCAATGATCCTTCCCTTGTGAGACCACTAACTTCATCAGCCTCTCGTACTACTGTTGTAGTAGGACGGGCTGATGAAATTCCCAATAAGCAAGCCTGTAATCTCCTATTCAGAGCAACCGGTTATCCAGGATTTCGACCTGCCAAGTGAATGATCAAGGAAAACGAGGGGAGGAGTGAGGACGAATGACTGTTCCAGAACTTCAGTACCACCATCCCACCTGCGAAGCACTGTGATTTAGAGCCGGCTACCCCCCCCCCCCTCCTCTCCCTTTCTCATCGTCACCTATAAGGTTACGTTAGTTGGTAAGTAACAGTTCCCCATGCACACTATTTTGTCTGCTGTCTCATTGCAACGATCTTTTTTTGCTTTTTAGGTCAGATGATTGGATTTGTGACAGCCATTTCAATGGATGTCACGCAGCAATGTAGAAGAAGGCGATAGTAAGTGTTACATTAGTGGGCGCAGCATCTGCTAGGGTTTTCAGATCGAATGGAAATATCGTGCATGAACAGGAAGGATGGGTTTTACGCAATCGGATGCTCATCCACTTTCTTCTCACGCGTGAATGAGAATCAGAACAACTCTGTCGGCACTTGCCAAAACGGACTCTTCCACAACAAAGAACGCAAACGGTACTATTTCGATTGTTATAGGAGCCTGCATGACCGCGAGAGTCGGACGTGCGTACGGCCATTGCGCCGCGCACGTCCGATGTCACTGAGACAGGTGCCAGACTTATCCTGTTCAACCGACTCCTCCGGTTCACTCATTCGCTATTGGTCAAATCAGTGCACTGACCAATAGCAGAGGGATGAACCTGATGAACCTGTTGAACAGGGTAAGTCTGGCATCTACCTGACAAGGAAGGGATACTTGGTGACCGTGGCCTTTTGGAATGAAACGTATACCATTAAATGCAACTTGAAGCGCTGATCCCAAATCTGTTTTCATTATCTGCTGTGCGCTCTTCAGGAAGAAGTTATGGACATTTCTTATCACCAAAATTTGCACTGTTTTTAGTGCAGGATTCACCAATATCGTTAGAATGTTCGCTTACGCACTACAAAAGAGCGTACAGATAAAGTAAAGCTTCATGTTAAGCTCGAGAAAACTGTCACCGATACATCAAAGTCTAAAAAGCCTAGATACTGACCTTCTGAATGCGTAAATCTCGCAAAATCACTTTGGAAAAAGTCCATAACTTCGTTCAGGGACTCGCATAGCAGACAGTCAACACAGGTTTAGAATCAACGTCCCAAGACGCATCTGCGGGTATACATCTCACTGCAAAAGGCCACGGTTACCAAGTATCCTTCCCTCGTGAGTCGTGGGACGGACATCGGACGTGGCGGCGCAATGACCGTACGCACGTCCGGCTCTCGCGGTCATGCAGGCCCCTATAGCGCCTTGACGCTTGCATGACCCCCCCCCTCCCGCCCTATACTCGACATGCTAGTCACGAATATTACACTTTTTTTGAACAAAAACGTCATCCGGAGGGGATACGGTAGGTATACGGTAGGGGGTCAAAATCACGGATTAGACTAAAATTTGGGCTAGAGGGTTCTCTAACGTTCTGATTACGAACATCACTCCTTCCGCATTTTGGGGGCTCATTTCATTAAGAGAAGTATACGGTATGGGGTCAAAACCACGAAGTTGCTCCAAAATTCTCCTAGGGGTATTATTTAGCCCGCTGAGCATGAATACCATGATTATTTCTCAAGGGAGGCCCTTTTCTTAGGCTACGGTGGGTGTACGGTAAGGGATCGAAGTGTCGAATTTGTTCAAAACTTTGTCCAGAAAGGTTTTCAAGCATGCTAATCATGAATATCATGCTTGGTCGCTTTAACGCCTTATTGTGGTGTTAAGGTAGTTTGCAGCGTATGGAATACATAATTTTCGCCAATGCAGATCACAGAAATTCACTTAAAGGCTTGGTGATATGAAATGAGCACGATATTCGCGATCTAAAAGTCAGATAACCCTCTGCACGAGTTTTAAGGCAGGTCTGTGGTTTTGACCCCCTACCATATACCAGTGGCGGGGAGACGGTCGAATGCATATTTATCGATTGTCATTTTTCAGAAAAACTAGGAAAGAAGTTCGAATTTGATTTAGTACTTCTGGGAATCAACTAGTAATCATCTGTTATTGATTCTCATATGATGATAAAACTTTAAGAGTTTGGCATCCTCGTTTTTGTAGAGTACAAATCCAGTGACGATTGTCGAAAAGCGCGCCTTTTGAGATACACCCCAGTGGCGGGTTATTTTTTTTATGGAGGTGCGTGGTTAGGCTCCCGCCAGAGTGCCGGAGCCATGTCAGCGCTACGCCAGCGCCGAGCCAGCGTTTCGATCGATACACGTGTATTTCGTTGGGGCGGGGTTAGCTGACCTAGTTCTCAGCCAGGACCCCGCCCCGACGAAATAACACGTGTATCGATCGAAACGCTGGCTCGGCGCTGGCGTAGCGCTGGCATGGCTTCGGCACTCTGGCGGGAGCCTTAGCCACGCGCTCCGGAAAGTTTTTTGGTATGCTTCCCGAAATTTTCGGCCCCTGACTCCGAAATCTCAGAAGGAGGGGGCGTGGCGCCAACCACCCCCGAAAATTTTTTGTGAGGCTAAATTGAATGTTTAAAAATTCTTGGCACTATTCCACATTAGTTGACCCAAAAAATGAAGACCGAGAGCGGTTATTTTGCACGCTGATTACGAATCTCACACTTATTTCGCACCGTAGTGCCATCTGGTCGAGTTACGGTAGGAATACGGTAGGAGGTGAAAATCGCGGATTTGTCCGATAGTAGTTCGTCTTCGGAGTTTATTTGGTACGCTGAACATGAAAACCATATTCATTTCGTGCGGTACTGCATTTTCTCGGGTTACGGTGGGTATACGGTAGATAGCTAAAAATCCTGGATTTGCAAAAAATTTTGCCTAAAGGGGTTTCTAAGCACGCTGATTATGAATATCGCGCCATTTTTGCAATCTGGAACTTTATTTCGCGAAATTACGATAGGTGGTGATAGGTAGCTAAAGTCATAGGTGAGCTCGAACCTTTGTGTTACGTATCTATGTTATTATGTTTCCTCTCCCACGATAAAGCTTTTCTTGGATTTTTTTGAATTTGGCTGAAAAGTGGAAAAGTTGCTCATCCAAGCACTGCAGCTCATTGTATATAACTCTTGCATCAAGGCATTGTTGCAGCGATTGAGCATGATATTTGCAATCAGCATGCTGAGAACCCCGTCAGGCAAAGTTTTGAAATTGGGGATTCTTAGCCATCTACCGTGTACCCACCGTAACCAGAGAAGATGGCGCTACCGTACGAAATGAATATGATATGCATGTTCAGCTTCCCAAATAACCTTCCTAGACGACCACGAGCGGCGCGGCCGTAATGTTGCGAGAGCACGACTTGTACAATGGCGAATTTGCATTGGGGCAAGCGTTCTACCTCGCGGCGCGTGCTCCGCAGTGATGTCCAGTCCGTGCGGTCAACGAATCAACTATACTGCTAAATATTCGGTTACGGTAGCAAGCTGAGTCTGCGCTACTACGTGAATCGCCAAGGAAAGCGGCGAGTAACTGAACTCGATAGCCTAAACCTTGTAATTCACAAAAGTGAATTGAGCTTAATTATTCTTTTCTAGTCTGAGATGGTGAAAGCGAAAACTGGGACGAACGAGATTTTGGCTGCCCTTAATTCCACATAACAGAGATTATTTGAGGTGGGATTCCAAATGTGAGCAAAATAGTAGTTCTTTGTATTAAGTGCAGAAAGAAGTAGTTAACTCATCTTTGAAGCAAAGCTAACTTGTTCGACAATGACCATTTCACCTGGAGTGGTAGAATTTGCTGAAACTTGGCCCAGAAGGGTCATTTGACATGCTAATTACAAAAATCCTTTATCATGCTTAGTGTGCATATGCCATAGTAGGTCACATCAATGTGCTAGCTTAGCATAATGCTTGTCTGACATTGTTAACGAATATCATGTTATTACGGACATCAGTACCACCTCGACAACGACCCTCCCCCATTTCTGACCCCTCAATACGAAACCCCAGGGGCGGTATTTATTAATCCCCCACTCGCTGTTCGGGCCATTGAGAGCCCGGACAGGCGAAAGCGGCGACACCTGTCATCAAACTTTAGAGTGTGGTCCGTGGCAAGTTTGGCCATGTCAGGCACAGCAGTCGGGCTCCGCTGCCCGACTGCCGTGCCCGACATGACCAAACTTGCCAGATCGGACCATAATTCTCCAATAGACAGGAGCCCGATCACCAGCTTGGCTTCGTATATCGCGGGCAACAGTACTCGCGCTTGTACGGGCTGTTATATATGTACCTGTACAGGAACCGCTTCCTATACAGGAGATTGATAGAACCGCCGAATGCATCTTCGGCGACAACACCTACACACCTTGATCACCCCTGCGCCAACCGCAAAGATACCAATACACGCTGCTAATGTGCGTTTTCTTTTCTTTGATGGTGCCTTAGACAATACCGAAAGTGTAGAAGCGGTAATCAGTCTACCACTGGTAATACAGAGAAATCACAGGTCTTTTCATTACTACTTTAGGATGTGTCTCCTAATATGGTGTTCAACGTAGTAGCCTGCGATTATTTGGCAAATTGCTTGAGAGCGCCAGTAGCATCATCTTCGCCGATTACTACCATGTATTTGGTGCAAAGCGTCGTTCAACCTACAACATCGCATCGCATGGCATCGCGAGGGGACTAATTTGTATTTCAGGGATGACTGTGCCCGAAAGAAAACCGGAACCCGAAAGAAATTCCGGTGGACGCACACATTGTCTTTTGTTAAGAAGGCGTGGCATCCTCAGTGGTGATATTGGGGGCTTCTTGAATTTACAACTCATGCTTGTTTTTCAGACCTGTCCACCTACATTGGTTCACAACCCACAAAAGCAGCCGTCACTGACAGCACCAGTCGCTAATGCATCTTCTCCCCTGTATTAGCAAAAGTACGCTTTTACTTACTGTAAATTTCTGTAATTCACTTCATCTGGAAGAGTCCATTAAGTTCACTGGTGTTTCTCTCTCTGGGTGAGATCATACAAGGTTGCAGTGAAAGTTCTCTTACTGTTTAAGTTCGCTGTCGTAAACTCACTTTGAATGGATTGTTCAAAATAGTACTGTTGTATCCACTTTCCAAAAACTCATCTGTAAAACCCATAATGAGTCTGGAAATTGGAGCTATACAATACTTTTGAAGGAAAATCTATACATGCGCATCCTTGCTGGTATTCAGTACGCAAAGGGGACATGGTACTGCTCAGTGGAGGTTCCAGCGCCAGCTAGAGGTACTTCGACATCTTCTTCACCTCTGGCTCCTTCTCCTGCCGCACCGTCTGGCCCTTCGTATGCTGTCTTCTACAAATGCGATATGTAGTGTATGTTTATGCTGTTTTAGGCAGGTGAACTGCCCAGGGAAGGACGGCTTATACTGCAACGGTTGCACTTCGGAATTTGTTTCATGCAGCGAAGGGACAGCAACAACTATGGTGAATTTCGTATGAACACTGCCAAATTGTAGGAAGCAAAAATTCTTTTCAGAAGTGCCCACCTACTTAGTGTTCGATGGAAAGAGGTCACTGTGACTACGTAGAAAACTGCGCGCATAAAGTACCGCCTACCTTAGCACCAGCCCCTGTGCTGCCAAGTCCACCCCTGCTGCCGCTGTGGTGAAAGCAGCTGCTGAGCATAGCGCTCAACAACGACCTTCTCGTACGTTATATTACGTATTATATATTTATTTATCCTATTACGTCATTTTAATTTATTATATTATCTAACTCTCGTGACATTGCTAGAGAGTCTTTTTCTTAGCGTGAATTGTTGGCTCGAAAACTGCTCAGAAATGCCCACCACTCCTCAAACACAGCTTCAAAGACCGGTGTCTACAGTCCCAGTCAGCGGCAGCAGGATCGTCGGATTGTAGTGGAAAGATGAATGGCTTCTATTCAAATCGATGCCATTCAGATTTTGTCCAGGGCAGAAATCGTGTCGCGAAAGATGGTATTTACAGTATAAGAGAAGCTATCATTGCTGACACGCCAAGTTCCAGAAATGCCCAACCACTGGTTTTCAACGAAAAGAATGGCTCTGCTACCAACTGGAAAATGCTCGAAGAATACTCAGTCACTATTGTGGCCTTCAGTGACACCCGCTCGGCTTGAGCTTACATCGAATAAATCGAGGTAGTCGTTGATTCCGGCTCGAAAAATGTAGTTATACTCTTTTGTTCAAGGATTGAATGTAGGCGGAGTGATAGGTACCACTCGAGTGGGTCTACATCTGATTTTGTGTGTTGTCATAGCTGAGTCGCTACTGCAATGTTTATATAGCAAGACCAAGATGCTGGGATATCTAGGACAGTTTTTTTTTCAGAAGCGCCCCTCATCTTTGGTTTCCAACGAGGAAAAAGGATACTGTGATTCCATAAAACTGCTGTGAGAAAAGTGTCCTCGTAGCCTTGCCGCTCCATGTACGGACTCAGCCCACACCGGCGAGACTACTTCCCGCACAGCAGCAAGCAGTAGCACCTTCTAGGTTTGTTTTGGATCTTTCATTACTAGCATGAATCCGATATTTATTGTTTTCTTGGGAATGTTTTCATTATTAACCGCGTGTGTTGTGTTTTTGTTGATTAGTTGTCGTTGTTTGTTTTTTTTGTTGTGTTTCATCACATAGGTACGCCTATGTAATTTGAGTCGGAGTTGATCTTTCAGTACTCTGGATTGTGCAGGGCGCCCGAACGGACATTATTCCAAAGATTGCTCAAATGACTTTGTTACTTGTAATGATGGTGTGGCAACCGCTATGGTAATCATGACCATGGTATGGTATTATGATTCACTTTTCTCTGCAGAAGTGCCCGCCAATGTTGGTGTTAAAGGCACCGTCCACCCAAAATTTCGACCTCAGTGTCTTTGCCGTTCCGGGGCCTTCTCATACCCCTGATTCCGAATATTAAGTTGAATATCCGAGAAAATCACGAAAAACCCGGTTTTCAGAACCCGCAGAGCTATTTCTTCGGTGCGGTGATTGGTCGGGCGCGCACGGATGGGCGGGACGAACGTCACGCCCACTCCGAAAGGGGAGGAGCCAGCGTCGCAAACGCGGCCTGAAGCGATTTCCGAAGCAATTTTCTCGGTTCGGAAGCAACTTCAGGCAGCGCAAGTTGGGCAATCATACAGTTGGGTGCCCCGCATCTGCTAGGTATCATAATCTCGCCAACCCCAATTTGGGTGGACGGTGCCTTTAACGAAATGAATGGAACTGTACTACACAGAAAGCTGTCAAGCTGGCGGTGCGACTGTCGCTCACAAACCTCCTATTACTCAACAGGCTCCTCCACCGTCATCGTGAGTTTCCAGGACCTTAGCACCCCTTTTGTTTCTTTTAGTAAGCTCAGTCTTTAGAGATCTCACATGCTGTAGTCGTGAAAATAAAATACTACTCGGATGGATGCTTTTTCCGATTTTGTCTGCATAGGGCTTCATGTTTTGTAAGAGTGTAGCTGTTGACATATGTTATTGTCCACTTGCGCTGTTTGTTTGCAGAAATGCCCAGCGGGTTTGGTCTTCAATGAGAAGGCTGGATATTGCAACTATTTGGAAGGCTGCGGCGGTACATCCGAAGCGGAATCCCTTCTAAAACCATCCAAGGATTCAACTGCTACTTTGATGCATCAGCGGAGTTCCACCACGTGGATTCTTGCAGCGAAGTTTGAGCTCTACTAATAAAATTCCATCGAGCACAGTTGCAAAGGACGACCGGACGGATACTATTTTTATGGTTGCTCGCCCGAATTTAGTTATTGCAGTGATGGAGTTACGACTTGAATGGTAAGTAAACACTCTTTGTACCAATGAAGCAGAACATGCGTACTCCTGTATTCAGTACTGTTTTGTATCTTTATATTTTTTGTGTAATGCATTGCCCAATTTGAATAAATTTTTTCTTTTCGAAGTTTTTTGTGCCTGCTAAGATGGTCGTGTGCCATTACCAATTTACCGAAAAGCGTTTTTTTTTTGCATGATTTGCGTCTAACATACTGTTGTGAAACTCATTTTATACATCTCGCACTTCGCCATCAGTATCTTTTCTTCTCCTACTCCGTTCACGAAGTAACGTAGCCAATTAATTGTGCACTTTTGACCCTTCTCTTTTTCATGACCATCTTGTTGTCAATGAGCAACTATCATTGCAACAGTTCTTTCATCATTCAAGAGTCTGATTGCTTAAGTTATTTCTATTTACAATGTAACATTGCAAACCAAGAATTTGAGTGCTGTATGTGGTTGTGAAACCACGCTTTCTCATGAAGTCACAGAATTGTATGCAAAAAGTTCTTCTTCGCTCTTCTCCAAATTGAAAATTTAATGTGGCGACAATTCGCACTTGACAGCTCTTCGAAGTTAATATGTTTGAAATGGAATTGGTGTTGCTTTTCTGGGTAAGATGGTGATAACGACAGTTCAAAGTCGGTATGACTTCACGCGCTAGCAGCCGTCGCTAGCAGCCGTTAACTGCCATTAGCCGCTTTGGCACTATTCCACATCAGTTGACCCAAGAAGTGACGTGTTTTTTTTTGCAAAAACCCCGTCTAAGGGGGTTGTTTGGCATGCTGATCGTGAAGATTACTCTGTGCAGCTGACGTAGAATCACCGTGAGAGGTCAAAGTCACGCACTTGCCTGAAACGTCGTCTAATGGAGGGGTCGCCACGCTGAACATGAATAATATTGGAGTGGTCTAAAAGTAAAAGGGCACCGCACGTAGGGCATAATTGCAGTTTTCTCAAACAGAAAATCTAATTGGAAGTCCATGTTTTGGCTATGTTAGTACGGCTGCACGTCATAAGCTACGCCGCGCGCGGTAGCCGCTGCCGCGCACGCCGCGTCCCGATTTTGGGATGGAGCTCCCCATGTCAGAGACTCCCGGCGGCAAAAACACGGGGGGTAAGGGAACGAAAACCGCCCGTTTGAGCCAGCTGCCTTTCGCGGCCAACTGGTCCTTTCGCAGTGTTGTTGCATGTCGTCCCAGGACCAGCAGTCCGCGAAGACGGCCCAAACTGGCGGCTTTCGTTCCCCTACCCAAACACGGGGATGGGGCTGGAGACATACCTTAAGCAACGCTTCGTGAAAAATTCGCGCCGGTCGTACCTCCTGACCGTTCCCCATGTTAGTACATAGCAAAACCTTCTGTCGAGGTCTATAGATGGGCGCTGTCGCATGGCGTTATTTTCGTAAGCGAATAAAATCAAACTCATCATTTCTAGTTTTGAACTTTGAGCAGCACCGCCGCAGTAAAATAAATGTGCTTACTACCAAGGATATCTTCGCAGAATGGGGGGGGGGGACTGTTCACCAAGACGATAGCCTCGTGTTCCAACGCTTTAGAACAGAAGATTTAGCTTCGGGTATAAGGAAACACTATTTATTCTGTTAAAGGAACTCACCCTTGACAACTATTATCAGGTAGAGCTTTTTACGCTCTACCCATACATATATGCGATTTACCTGCCAAAATATGATGTGTCCTGAAAATCTGACCCAAACATCCCTTTTCCGAATAAAGTGACTTTTCTATACAATTAATGGAGAATTTCTGTTCATTCACGAGATCATTGAAAAGAACTTGAAAAGCCCTTTCGATATAGATGTCATATGTATGGGGAGGGCGGAGTACAGTAGCACAAATTCGGATGGCGTTCAAAGAAACTCTGTCTGACTTCTTCGAAGCGTCATTGAAGGATTGTGGGTGAAGTGGTGCAAGGTGGGATTCTGCGGAGGGCACGTTATACAAAGGCGTTCAGATCGCTGGTTGTTCATAGTTAATTCAGAAAGAGACCTTAGAAAATGTTCAAAAAAATAAGGTGCCCCATTACTCTCGTATCTAGTAGTAATCTCGATTGGAGTCGTTTTCTCACTTTGCGGCGGTATCCGGTACATCGGTCAAGATTGTCTGCTCAAAACTTTGCTAAAAGGATTGTTTAGCTATGATTACGAATATTACGATTTTTTAACTTTTTGCGTTGTGGAACCTTTTCGCAGAATCGCTACTTCGCAAATTTAAAAAAAAATGTGGCCTGAAAAGCGCGTAAAAGGTCTGCTTACAACTGTAACTTGCCATAACTCCATGATAAGTCGTTATTGTAGCAAACTAGCATGATTGGTATCACTGCTTGAGAAACTTTCTAGGCGAAGTCTGGAGCAAGTATGGATTTTTGAGATCTACGTACATCAATCATAACCCGCGAAATTGGCGCTGCGGTGCAAATCATGTGATATTTCCAGCCCCCCCCCCCCTCCCTCTTCTAGAAGAACCTTTAGCAAATTATATACACGAATTTCATTTCTTGGAGCGGGCTACTGGCGGCGGCTGCCGATGCGGGGATAAGCGGAGTTATATGATCTGCTAAAGACGAAATGCAGTACGATATTCAACGGAGTCCTGAAATCGAAAAAAAATTGAAATCTGCAAATTACACTCATCTCTCAGGAAATTCTCCTCGATAAAATTCTTTCAAATACCATACTAAATGATCCTTGTATACAAAGTTAACTCACTCAAGTTTTGCTCTCATATGTGTAACCTGGATGGCTTACTCGTGGTGGCAGAAGAGAAGACAAAAAGATTGATTGTATGCGACTTAGTTACGTTCGAAAAACACTAAAAGAGATAATGGTACAATAAAATTGTCAGTTAGTTCAGAAGCAAAGATTTCTTGAATGCGGCTGTTGATGCTCTTGATTGGCATATGTGAGTTCCCCTGTTCTGAGTACTACCCAGATTCTGTTTGTTATAACTAGTTATTGTCATCTCCACAGTCAGCTACCTGCGTTTGTCTCAAACAAAACTCTGTCTTTCTAGCCCGCTCGGATACACCGTTTCGGTGTGCGTTTCGATTGGAAGTAGTAATTTTTCCCTTTCTCAGCTGCAGTCTGTAATTTGTATTAGTTGTTAGTCAGTTGTGCGTACTATGTTTCGAGAAAAGTTTGCCTTAGATTTGTACCGTCAACCTTTTCCTATTTATCTGAGCCGGAATAAATTAGCCGGACCACTTTTATTTGCGCAAGCTTAAAGCAACAAGACCATCCGATTTTCACCAATCCTGTGGGTTGTTTCAGACTGCCGCACTGACTGCAGCAGACTGCAGCAGATTGCATCAGACTGCAGCTGACTGCAGCTGACCGCACTGACCGCACCGGTCGCAGCCTCTTTTTTTAAAAGAAAACAACCGCGATTACCAAAACAGCGTGATTTACGCATAAGAAGATCATAAGTTCCATCAGAATTCTTTTCAATCAAATTTTGGCTATAGTTTTCTTTGGTATGTTCGTACTTGTTCTAATTCCTCCTATCATTGCATATACCTGTTTTGTAACATTCTAAACCGTGTTGTCTTTTGCTTTTACGTATATATTGTTGTTGTTTGTTTAAACCACAACTATTTATCCTCTCCGCCTGCATGCTACAGCCGCTGCGGCCGTTGCGGTCAGTGCGGTCAGCTGCAGTCTGCTGCAGTCTGCTGCGGTCAGTGCAGACTGCTGCAGTCAGTGCGGCAGTATGAAACAACCCTATAGCTTAAGATCCTATTTTACCTTATTTTATCTTGATTTCCTACTTTGAGATTGCCCAGGGAATAACGAAAACGTGAAAATCTCAGCTTGTATCGTAAAGTGCCTGTTAACCATTTCACTTGAGTATCAGGGTATACTCTCAAACAAAGACAGAAAAGGAAGAATAAAGATATCTAGACTAGCGAAGTATGAGGCGTTTATTCTCAGATCATCTACCCTTCCCACCGGAGATGTACGTGCATACGAGTTAGGGTTCTCGTACAGATTTGAAGTATGCGTCATTCTTAATCTATTCTCAACACAATAAACTACTACCGTGTATTCGCTGTCATCCATTACTTCTCATGTTTGATATCGAAAAGTTAATATCGGTTGGTAGTTTTTTGCAGATGCTCGTGATGAATTTACCCCATCAATGCGGGCAACACCTCTTGGGAGAATGTATAGGTTTCAAACAAACACTCATTTGAAAAAATACCCTTTAAAGATTTTTACTTCATAGTCCTCAGCTGCTATATGTACTATAAGGAAAATTCCCTGAATTTTTTTGAAAAAAGACGCCAAACAGCGTGTCACCGTAACATTCACAACATACAAATGAGATACCGTAGCACCAACGTTTCTCTACGAAAATAATCTGAGCTTGCATCGGCTATTATCTTCAAGCTACTTAAATCTTTGTGTTTTTGTGGATCAACAAATGAAATATAGCAAACCAAGACAGAGAATTACTACAAACATAGGATTGCTCTCTTTCGTTGGCATGTAAATTGTAAATTTAGACGCTGTCAACCATACACTGTTATGTCCGTTGCAATAATTTTTGCTTAGTTATCCGTTCAGTGACCTTTTGTGCAAAAGCTCATATTCAACAATGAATGTTGGGGGATATATCGGCTTCTGTTTTGTGGATAATCACATCGGTAGGAAAAATGATTAGTGGTGAATGTAAAATTTGGGGATCAATTTGACACATATTAGAAAATCATCAACTTTATGCTAACCATCGAAATTTTTTTTTGTTTTTTCGACTTTGGATGTGTAAAATCTGTTTGAATTTAATTCAAAGCACTTTGAAGGCTGTTTCATTGTAGTGATGACGTTGTTTTGCATGCAAGTGCTACGGTCCCCTTGGAAGATTTTTGCTTCGCGTAGCTTGTGATTTCTTCCTAATTTACAACAAGTTCTTAAAATTGAAAAGTCAGGGAGTATCTTGATCCAAGCGAAGGTTGAAGCCAAAAACAAAAAAGATCTTGGATCCCCAAAAATCCAAGAAAAAATTGAAAGTCCGTTCAAAAAATCCTAAAAAAATTCTAACTTG